AACGGGAGAAACAGGAATAGCCAAAAGGCAGTCAAAGTACTGGTGGTGGTGGTGGTGGTGGTGGTGGCGGCGGCGGCGGCGGTGGTGGTGGCGGTGGTGGTGGTGGCGGTGGTGGTGGTGGTGGCGGTGGTGGTGGCGGCGGCGGCGGCAGTGGGGGGTGGCGGTGGCGGTGGTGGCGGTGGTGGCAGCGTTGGCGGTGGTGTTGGCAGCGGCGGCGGTGGTGCTGCTGGTGCTGGTACTGCTAGCGCTGCCAGCGCTGCTGGTGCTGGTGCTGACGGTGCTGCTGGTACTGCTGGTGGTGCTGGTGATGCTGGTGGTGCTGGTGATGCGGTGGTGCTGGTGGTGCTGGTGGTGCTGGTGGCCCAAGTGGCTGAACGTATGAAGGCTTGACATCCAATCCACAAGGTATGCGACCAACACATGTCGATGTTAGGCAATTGCAGCAGCATATCCATCACAGGGGCAAGTTCCACTCTGATATACACTCACAGAGCCCACAAAAAGCGTCTCCATATGTCTCCATGTAGAAATATCGCGCACCACGGTTTCGACTATCCGATGCTGACATGACCACACTGTAGCATGTTGCGCGATGCTTCCATACTACCCGTAGGTACATACACACAGTCGTACATCTTCTTTTCTACCAAGCGGCCGATGGCGGCGGCAGCCTTCTGCTCAAAGTTCTTGAAGTTTCCCTTTGCTCCGTTCTCTGACTTCCAGATGACGCCTTTGGAGTTCCTTGCGGTTTCGAGTCTCCGGTCGCGGGCGGGGGGGCCATCGCTGAGCGTCGAGACTTCGACTAATGGATCTTCTAGACTGTATCAAAACTTACGGGCCCCTCTGTCCATTTGTGCCCGCAGGCTTGGGGATGCCTTTGGTGCGGTGGGCGGTCTGTTCCATTCAAAGCCATGAACAAGTTTGTGGCCAGGCGGCGTGCAAAGGATCGACTCCGCGGGCACTCCTGCTTCGCTCCGAAGCAGCATCGCGCCTCAGCGGTGCCGAGTCCCATGCTTTGTCGGTCTTCCTCGTAGTTTCTGAAAGCCTATGAACCCTAAACCTGACATCCTCAATTCAGCACTTGCTCAGCAAACGCAAACACGCGAGCCAATGCTTCGCCAAAGGACTTCCCAAGTTCGCGGAGCCAGCTCCATGGAAAAGCACGCGTGTCTTTCTGAGCTCTTTGATTAGCTCCTTGCAACCTCGGGAGACTTTCTGGGAAACAGCCACGTCAGGAGATAGACAGATCGAGATAGAGGGATACAAAGACCTACAAACAAAAAACTCTCACTCTCTCTCTCTTCGGGGATAAGGGAGAAGGGCGGTCTAGCCCCCCCCCCTGCGCGCGAGCGCGCACCCGCGGTTCCCGGGCGACTTGGTTCCTCCTACGGATTTACCATAGGAGGCTCGGCTTTACAAGGACCTGCCCCCTGCACTGGAGAGTTTCGTCCTGGTGCCCTAGGGGCGCAGCAGAAAAACAGCAAAGACTAAAGGTAAGGCCGCGACCAAACAACATACACATCGCTGCATCTCCGAATTCGGGCAGGTTTGACTTGAAACGGGGGCGAAGGAAAAACATGCTGAGTCTCCCCTACTTCAAGGTTGGTGTGGTCTCGAATTTGGGCCTTCTTGTTCCCCCGAATTCCTCATACATTTCCCCTCAAGCAGGTGTGTTGAATTACGAGCCAATGTGGGCTCAACAGAATGGGTTTGCCTGAGAAGGACTGAGAGGGTTGTAGACTCCCCCCAGCCCTGCTTAAAGAATTCACACCTTGAGGATCGGAACTGCCACACGAGTATAGTACGATAGTGCATGATGCATGTTTGGGGTCCGCCGATGCCAAGCAACACTGCAAAAAGTCAAAACGTGCAGAACGAGTACTGGGTGGATTCCCCCTGGGCTTGGACTAGTGACGTCACTGGGTATCAACGAATATACGTTGGCCGCAAAAAGATCAAGCAAACATACATGCCATGAAACATTCCCCCAACCCGCATATTCGATCTCCCCCGAATTTTCCTCTCTCTCTATCTCTCTCTCTCTCCCTTTCTCTTTCTCTTTCTTTCACAAGGATGAAGGGAGAGGGATTGAACCCTCCCCCCCCGCGCTCCAGGTGCCCCCCAAATGCTATGGGAAGGCGTAAAGGCTACAGGACTTTCCAAGGCAAACATAGCCAATCAAGTTGCACAAGGCAAAAAGCAATCCAACAGCAATCCTTTTTGTGTTACGAAAAACCATCACATTGTCAGAAGTTGCGTCATGCAGTCAGCTTCTGCCTTGGAGTCTACCAATCCACACCACACAGTACTCGTTTCCGACGATGGACAGGAACACAAACACAGACTGAAATAAGTGAAACTTCTGGCATCGGACGTGGAATCAGGCTGAGGGGCAGCCCCGCGTCTCCCACCACTTCTCCCTCAGGCAACAGGCCGGGCAGTGGGGAAGCCTCTCCTCGCCGCAAACACAGGCTCCCGCAATCCGTCTTGGCGCGGGGCACCTTCAGCGCCGCGGTCGGCCGCCCCTCCCACGGTGACGAAGACCACGTCCGCGACCTCACCAGGAGGCACTCCCAAGGGGGCAAGAGGGAGAGACAGCCGCAGTGGCGGGAACACCACAAGGACCGGGAGGAAGCTTTCCCGAGGTCGCCAACAAAGTCTTCCGGAATCTTCGCGACATCGCGTTCGACCGGCACTGGAAGGGACCAATGCGTCCGGCGCGGGTGCCCCACCCGCCTTGCCCCCACAGGGCCCACGGCTTCCGGAGGGACCCCGTCTGAGCGCACCGAAAAACACCGGGAGCTTTCCGCTCCCGAAGGGGTCGTCGCCCGAGCTGCACGGCAGCGGCAAGTGTTGGTGTTGCCATGGAGCGCGGCCACGACACATCTCTCGCAGACGATGTGGCCGCAGAGCCTCCTCATCGTGCCCTGCACCTGCCCCTTTGTCCGGCCCAGTGATGACTCCATCACTCTGCGGTGTGCTCCTCCTGTGCCCGGCCCAGTGATGACTCCATCACTCTGCGGTGTGGCCGCCTCCTTGTGGAACACGGCGGGAGCTGCACGGCCAACCGTCCTCGTCCTCCTCCTCTTCATCCTCCTCGTCGTCTCGTACTCGGAAGAGTAGTCCCGCACAAGGGGGCGGCTTGCCAGCGCCGTCTCCTCCGGCGCCGCCTTTGCCGGGGCCTTGTCTCCTTCCCCGGTTGCCGGAAAGCTGTTCCTGCACCGCTACTTCCCGTGCCCTCCCTCGTCCTCACTAGCTCCTGCTTCGGAGCCTTCCTTGTCCTGGGGGCCTCCACCAGATCGCCAGCCAATCAGCAGGGCGGTGATCGATGGGCATCGCCATCATGCCATCGCGTGGGCGGGCCTCGATGCGGGCTCCTGGGACTACCGTAGGTGTGGCGTTGGGCAGGGTTCCTCTTCAGATCTTGGGAACATTCCTGATGCGCTCGGGCGAGCCCGGCCATACCCCCGCGAGCGATCGGGGGCTCACGGTCGTGGAATCGATGCAGGTGGGGTTGCTCTGGAGGATTGCGCGGCAGAAATTTGTCTACGCGGAGCTCTTGCTAAAACGACCCCCACTCCTAGCCTGACCTCGGGGGCTGGAGGAGTGACTGGCGATGGCGCCCTCTTCGTGGGTTTCCAGCACCCAAGTTCAAGAACCACATCGTGCAGCCCGATGGCTTGTTCAGGCCGGTGGAGGTCCCGGGCGCCCCGAACTACGATGCCTGGCTGGCGTCGTGGAGCGTGTTCGAAAATGCCCCCCTTATATGTTCGAGGTCAAGGACGCAGCCGGGGAAAGAATCCCCATGGTCACCCAAAGCACCTTGGACCTCTACAGGGACCGGTTCCGAGAGCTGGATGTCCGGGACCCCGCCATCAGGTTCATGGTCAAGGCAGCGCGTGACGAGCACAGCGTCCTCCCAAATACCCTGGACGCGATGCAGGATATCCTCGCCTTGTGGGCCAAGGCCGGCCCCGGCGAGGAGGTGGAGCTCCTCACCGTGGACATCTCGCATGCCTTGCTGAATCTTAGCATCCTCGAGGCGGACAGAGGGTTTGCGGTGGGGCAGAACAAGCGCGAAGCTGACCAGGGCAGCCCAGCCGTGCACCACGCGGACAAGCATCGGGCGTCCCCTTGATTGGGGCAGAACTTCAGGTAGTCAAAGAAGGGGTACAGGTGCAGCACCACCACCACCACGAAAACCAGGCCCTCCTCGGAAGGGTGGATGAGGCCCTCTCAGGAGAGAGCGGCGGCATCACAGGGCTGTGCATTGCGCCCCACCAGGCAGGCCCGCTCCCCAGCCCGCACAGACGCTTCAACAACCGGGTTCGGAGGCATCCTCCTTTGCGCTTCTGGTGCGCTGCGTTTTTCGCGGACGTCTTGGCCACCCTCGGGCTCCCGGCTGGGGAGCTGGCGCTCGTCTTCTTCAGCCTTGTCATCTGGCGCCGGTGCCTCGCCTCCAAGGCGTTGGCTTCCACGGCCCAGCTGGACAATTCCTCCGCCCTCGATCACCGCCAAGCTGACCTCCAAAGAAGCAATTTGCAACCGGGTGGCAGCGGAGATTGCCCCACAGCTTACTTGGGCTCAAATCGAGACCTTCGAGCACTACCGCAACACACTCAACGTCGAGGCGGACGCACTGTCTAGCATATCAGAGGGTAAAGAAGTCCCACAGAGACTCAGGCGGGTCGCCAGGAATCCCTTCCCGGAGGAACCACTGCAGGCTCTGGCGATGCGGGACTGGCCCAGGGCGGAAGAGCTGAAGAAGGAAAAGAAGGAGAAGAGGAAAAGGAGACAGGAAGAGGAAGCGAGAGCGCCGCAAGGATCCAAGAGGAAAAGAGAAAGCACTTTGGCAGCAAGCAGTGACGCCGCACGCAGCCCCGAGTGCGCCGACACCGCTGGTCCAATGCCCTTTTTCCCACATGCTGTTTGCTGCCCAGGACTGTGCCCGAAGAAGCCCGCTGAGGGAGAGAGCTCCAAGGAGCCGGGCGCCGCTGGAATTTGGGTTCTCCTCCTCTACCTGCAGCTCCGGTGGCGGGCCCTCCGCTCACCGGCGGCCTGACGGACGAGCATAGCTGGGAGACCTGCCTTCTCGGAAACACCCCGGAGGCGGGGACAGGGCTGCCTCCAGTGGGTCCGGAAGCCAGCGGCCTTTTGGTCTTGGAGGGCAGGGACTGGCTGGAGGCTCACGAGGAGCAGGCTAGACTGCAAGCTGGGCCTCCGTGAACAAATCAACTGCCATGGCCATGGCTCGAAGGGAAAACGGTTCTTCACCTTGGTGCCCCCAAGTCCCAGCAGACCTTCAGCCCTGCTGGTACCTGGTGACACCCTCAAGCCACGGCTCGACGGTACCTTCGTCAAGACCCTGCCTCCTGCGATCACTGGGTTGTTATTATTAGCACTTCGTGCAAGGCATTACAAACAGACACCTGCATGAACATCCGTATGTGCCAATATAGTCTAGCCTCGTGGTTTGTTCAACCTCCCAGCTCTGAGTGTTAGTTTCGACCGTTTACCCATTGAACTTGGTGTCGAATTGTCCTATTTTCAGTCTTCAGATCTGTCCATTGATCTCTCTAGTGATCTACTTACAGGTTATCCAAACACGACCTACCTTACTTCCTTCACTCCCACTCGACATTCGTTGTCGTCCTGTATCTCGCTGCATGCCCCAAGTTGGGGGTCAAGGCCAGGGTACCTGGCTTCTGAAGCCGGATTCCACCCAGCACCGCTGCTACAACAACAGCTGCGGTGCCCTGGATGTCGTCATTGTAGCTCAGGAACTTGTGCCGGTACTCCTGAGGGGTGGTACAGCAACTGTAGGATCAAAGCTGTGAGAGCAAGAGAGGGAGGCGGAGAGCGAAGGAGAGAGAGAGAAAGAGAGAGAGAGAGAGAGAGAGAGAGAGAGAGAATCAGGGTAGTTTTGTGCGCAATGCATAACACTTGCCCGAACTGCTCAAGGACGTCAGGCAACCACTTTCTGCACTGAAGCTAAGAAATTCAGAAAGCTGGAATGAAGTGGGGCTGCCCGAGGACTTTCTTCAGTGCTGAACCGGGCCTCCAGCAGCGGGAAGGCATCGTTTGTATTGAAGTCTTCGAACTGAAGTAAACATTTTCGGCTGAAGATGTCTGCTGCTGCAGCCATGAACTCACCGATGAGGGAGCAAGGCCCGTAGTAAGCAGTGTTCACCTCGGTACCTGGCAGCTAGTTCAGCAAGGCAGGGGCAGATGTCAGGAAACGGAGGAGTCTACGCTTTGCACAATGGCCCACCTTGTGCATCCTCGTGCTTCATTCGATCCTGTTTCAATCCTTCAAGCAAGACACGAGACAACACCAACAAGAGAAACTGATCTCACAACGGACCCGAGTCTTGGTTAGTCCTGTGTACAGCTCATGGTCTCGGATTGTAAGCTTGGCTGAATTGCCACTTGCGTCAGTGCATCCTGCGTCGATAATGACCGGCACCGTCTTGTACGGGTTGAAGCCGGCACAGACTGTGTAGAGATCCAGCTTTCCAATTGGAATGCCCATCCCCCAACAGCCAAGGTCTCCCAAACCAAGGATGCGCCCTGCATCCGAAAAGACTATGCACTGGCACTCAAACTTGCCATTCTCATCCTTTGTGAGCATGGCTTCTGCGTATTCTAGCAGTACTTCCTTTACCCTGCCACAGTCGCATATTGAGACGTAGCAGCCACGGGGGAAGAAGGGAAGCAGGCCAAACCTCAGGGTTCACTTCCAATCCTTTCTCCTGCTCTTGTGCGTGAGGCGGGTATGTCGAGAATCAAGCACTGATTTCGGCAAGCGGCTTCTGGCACGCTTCACCAACTGTAGGTGTGTACACAATCGGCAAGAGAAAGGCCGGGTCGTGCCACAGAGCTGCGTAGTACAGGTTGGGATCCTGTGGCCAAACATCGCAATAGACCGACAGCTGAGATGCAACTTGACAAGTGAAGGGCCGGGTTCTTTGAGTGGAATTCCTCTGTCCATCCTCGCTTCTCTTCGCGCTATCCCCTATCCGCTGTGCCCCCGCCCACCCCACTGCCTTCAGGCCTTGTAGAGTAAGTAAGCATCGAAGCACTAACACGCACCAAGGAATCTAGCTAGAGAGGATCCTAGGAGCTCCAACTCCAACCACTGGAGCCTCTTTGCCCTGCCCCCCTCCCCTGACCACATGCCTCGAACGAAAGCATGTGTTTACCAAACCAACAGCGCATGCTGCAGGACTAGCTTTCGCTGCGGACGGGCGCTGGCCATGCCTTGTAGTGAAGCATCCGCAGGTACGCGTACGCATAGAGCAGGTGACCCAAAGTGAAGAAGCCGCGGACCTCTTGCATGACCTCGCTCACCGTCGAGGCCTCAGCAGTTCAGCTTGTCAGCCTGTTCCTGTCTGACCAACTAGCTTTGGAAAATCGTGCGACCTCGCCTTGCAGGACGCATCCAGCGTCTTCAACATCTGCGCGAGCTGCGCCTGAGAGGTTCTAAACCGGGTCTCACACGATGAGCTGGTTCTGATGTGCAAGCACCGGGCCTTTCCTGCTAAAGCTGCACTGTCTACATTCTCATATTCACGTGCTGAAAGATCTGTCGAAGGAGTTTAGGACCTCGGGTCGAACAGTCAGTGGTGGGAGCCAGCAGCAGCAATAACATAGTACTAGTACTAGTGCTGCCACTAGTACTAGTACTAGCAGTGGAAGTGGTAATAGCAGTAGCGGTAGTAGTAGTAGTAGTAGTAGTAGCAGCAGCAGCAGCAGCAGCTGCTTCAGCAG